CTTGTCCTGTTCCTGATCAGTGCTTAGGACAAAACCTGCCATATGTCTGGTTTTGTCCTAGGCACTACAGACAGTGTACAAGATAGTTTCCTGCCTCCTGTGTAATTAATTAGAAATAATTCTCAAATTATAGCTATCTTAACTGTTTCAAGGGAGAAGTAAAGGGTTCTATGAAAATGTCTAATGGGAAGACTTAGGATGACTTCCTTGAGGAAATGACATTTCATTGAGACCAGAAGGATGAGCAGGATGAGCCCAGAGAAGAAGGTGCCCTCAGAGGGTTGTAGGGGAGAGTGGAACAAATTACTCTATTTCCCTGCACCCTGCCATTCTCACAAGGATGGATCAGTAGAGAACTGCTGAGCGGAGGATCCCAGCAGCACACTGGCATTCTCAAAGCCCATTAAAATGGGAGAAATGTGGATAAATGTGAGCAGCTGGCCCAACCATAGCCACAACCATTAAGCAAGCAACAAATCTGTTTTCCTTTTGGAAATGAGGAAATTGAGCCTTATGAAGTTACACAAGTCATGGGGCTAATAAATTACAGAACTAGAGTTCATACTCACAAAAGAAAGGCCTGTGCTCTTTCCACAGTAATATGGCTCTGCTACCTCTCCTTCAATGCCTGCCTCAGAACCATCACCACCCGCTGCTTCTCATCTTCATGCCCTTTCTCTGGGTAGCCTCCCCCACCCCCTGTCTACCCCATACATAGATGTGCTTCTTTCCAGAGGGTGATTCCTCTTGTTTGGCAATGTCTCATGTTACAGAAAGATGGTCCATAGTGTTGTCTACTGTGCTGATACGTGAATTTTGTTGGAGTGACATGGTCTACCCACAGCCTTTGTACAAGGTGCAGGTGGTAACCTGAGCCAGAGTTCCACAGGCCACTATGCAAGACCACCATCAGTCCAGGCATTTTCAGAAATCCCTCAGGTGCTTTTCTTTTTAAACTTCCTGCCTCACTATATTTTATTATGAAAAATTTCAAAGTGAGAAGTTCAGAAGATTTTATACCCACAGCTAACATCATACTCAATAGTGAAAAGCCAAAAGTTTTTTCTCCAAGATCAGGAACAGGACAAGGATGCCCACTCTGTTTTTTTTTTTTTTTTAAAGATTTTTATTTATTTATTTGACAGAGAGAGACACAACGAGAGCAGGGACACAAGAGGGGGAGTGGGAGAGGGAGAGGGAGAAGCAGGTTTCCCACGGAGCAGGGAGACTGATGTGGGGCTTGATCAACTGAGCCACCCAGGTGCCCCAAGGATGCCCACTCTCGCCACTTTTATTCAACATAATATTGGAAGTCGGGGTGCCTGGGTGGCTCAGTCAGTTAAGCGTCTGCCTTCCACTCAGGTCATGATCCCAGAGTCCTGGGGTCAAGTCCCGCATCAGGCTCCCTGCTCAGCGGGGAGCCTGCTTCTCCTTCTCCCTCTGCCTGCTGCTTCCCCTATTTGTACTCTCTCTCTCTCTCTGTCAAATAAATAAATAAAATCTTTAAAAAATGTTTTAAAAAAACCCATAATATTGGAAGTCAGAGCCACGACAATTAGGCAAGAAAAAGAAATAAAAAGCATCCAAATTGGAAAGAAAAAAGCAAAGCTGTCACTATTTGCAGAAAACATGATAATATATATAGGAAACCATGAAGATTCCATCAAAAAACTATTAGAATACATGATATCAGTAATGTTATAGGATACAATATCAAAATACAAAAATCCACTGTTTCTATACACTAATAATGAGCTACCAAAGAGAAATTAAGAAAATAGTTCTGTTTACAACTGCATCAAAAGAAAAAAAAAAAGTGCCTAGGAATAAATTTAACTGAGGAGGTGAAAAATCTGTGTACTGAAAACTCCAGGATATTAAAGAAAGAAATTGAAGAAGACACAAATAAGTTGAGAGATATTCCATGCTTGTGAATTGGAAGAATTAATATTGTTAAAATGTCCATACTACCCCAAGCAATATACAGATTTATTATTTTTTTTAAAGATTTTATTTATTCATTTGAGAGGGAGAGAGACAGAGCACAAGCAGGTGAAGAAGTAGAGGGAGAGGGAGAAGCAGACTCCCCGCTGAGCCGGGAGTCCATCATGGGGCTCAATCCCAGGACCTGGAGATCATGACCTGAGTCAAAGGCAGATACTTAACCGACTGAGCCACCCAGGCACCCTGCAATATACAGATTTAAAGCAATCTCTAGTAACATTCCAATGGCATTTTTCACAGAAATAGGACAGTCCTAAAATATATATGAAACCACAAAAGACCCTGAATCAGCAAAGCAATCTTGAGAAAGAAGAATAAAGCTGGAGGCATCACACTCCCTGATTTCAGACTTTATTACAATGCTACAGTAATTAATAGAGTGTGGTATTGGCATAAAAATAGACACATAGATCAGTGGAACAGAATAGAGAGCCCAGAAATAAACTCACACGTGTGGTCAATTAATTTACAACAAATAAGCCAAGAATATATAATGGGAAAATGACAATCTCTTCAAGAAATCGTGTTGGGAAAATTGGACAGCCACATACAAAAGAATGAAGCTGGACCACTATCTTAAACCATACAAAAAATTAACTCAAAATGGATTAAAGACTTGAATGTAACATGCCCACTCTTTTAATAACCATAAAACTTCTGGAAGAAACCCTGGGCAGTAAGCTCTTTGATATAGGTCTTGGCAATGATATTTTGAATCTGACACCAAAAATAAAAGAAACAAAATGTAAAATAAGTGGGACTACATCAAACGAAAAAGCTTCTTCACAGCAAAGGACACCATCAACAAAATGAAAAGGCAACCTACTGAATGGGAGAAAATATTTGCAAATCATATATCTGTTAAGAGCTTAATATCCAAAAAATATAAAGAGCTCATACAACTTCACAGCAAAAAAAAAAAAAAGATTCAACTAAAAAATGAGCAGAAGATCCAAATAGACATTTTTCCAAAGAAGACATCCAGATGGCCAACAGACACATAAAAAGATGCTCAGCATCAGTCATCAGGGAAATGCAAATCAAAACCACAATGAGGTATAACATCACACCTCTTAGAACTGCTGTTATCATACAGTCAAGATAACAAGTGTTGGCAAGGATGTGGAGAACAGGGAACCTTTGTACACTGCTGGTGAGAATGTGAGTTGTTTTAGCCACTATGGAAACAGTATGAAGCTTCCTCAAAAAATTCTGAGTATTTACTCAAAACAAAAACACTAACTCAAAAAAAATATGCACTCCTATGTTCATAGCAGCATCAATTACAATAGCCAAGATATGGAGATAGCTTAAAAGTCCATCAGTAGATGAATAGATAAAAGAAGATGTGATTTATATGTATATTATTTGGCCATAAAAAAGAAGGAAATCTTGCCATCTGTGACAACATGGACGGACCTTGAGGGCATTATGTTAAGTGAAATGTCAGAAAGACAAATACTGTATGATCTCACTTATATGTGGAATCCTAAAAAAAAAAAGCTCAAAAAGCTCATAGATCCAGAGAACAGATTGGGGGTTGCCAGAGGCAGGGGCTGGGAGAAATGGGTGAAGGGGGTCAAAAGGTTTTAAAAAAATTTAAAAATCACAAGCTATAAAAGGCAATGTAGTATTCTGGGTTGGATCCTAGAATAGGAAAAGGGAAAATGTAAAAAAATGAGTAATATCAGAATCAAGTAGGTTGTTTAGTTAATAGTAATGTACAATGTTGGTTTCTTAGTTTTGACATATGTACTATTAGAAACTGGGTGAGGAATATATGGGAAAAATTAATAAATAAAAATAGAAATGTAGAAACAAATTTTAAAAAATTTTACAGTGAACTTTTACGCATCCACCATCAATATTATTTTATTTGGCCTGCTTTATCACAGAGTATCTGTTTAACACACTCTTTATCCACCAGTCTGTCTGCAAAGTAAATTGCAGATACCAGTATGCTTCCTCCTAAATATTTTCAGCATGCACACCACTAACTAGAGTTCAGTATGTTTACAAATTTTTCTTTTGATGCAAGATTTGCCTACAGTACATTTGCTAAGTATTGACAAGTGCTTATGCCTTTGTAACCCTAACCCCCACCAGGATGATAGAGCATTACCATCACACCAGAAAGTTTCCTCATGCTCCAAACCATGCAGTCCTCACCCTGTCCCTGGGCAACCTGTCCCTGGAAAGATGCTCCTTTTCCAACATAGATTACTTTGTTGGAGAACTTAACATAGATGGAGTTATATAATATGTATTCTTTTGTACTAGGCTCCTTTTATTTAGCATTTTTTGTGACTCATCTACATTGTTGTGCGTATTGGTAGTTCATTGCTGAGTAGTAATCCATTGTATGAATATACAGTCTTTTTTTTTTTTTTTTTTTAATCCATTCTCCTATTGATGCATCACTGTTTCCAGTTTGGGACTGTCATGAATAAAGCTGCAGCGAACATCATAGAAGTCTTTGGGGACATATATTTTCATTTCTTTTGGGATTAGAATTGCTTGGCCATAGTTTAGGTGTATGTTAAGTTTTATAAGAGACCGCCAGACCTTTTCTCAAAGTGGTTGTACCACTTTATATTCCCATTCACAATGTATGAGAATTCCAGTTGTTTCTTATCTTCCCCAGTATTTGGTGGTATCAGCCTTTTTAATTCTGGATATTCTGGTAGGTGTGTAATGGTATCTCATTATGGTCCCCCATGGGTTTTTACTCTTCAGTTCACTTTGGGGAAAATGAATGGAAGAAGGGAAGAAGGAAAAAGCAAACATTTCTGTTTTGAGATTGTATGCACTGTAGACTTCGTAGCACTTACGTACAGATTCTTCAAATCCTCATCCTTTTTGTACTTTTCTATTCTTTTTAGATAATGCGTTGTTTTTATATTCTTCAAATTCAGTCTTTTTGTTCATAATTATTTATTTTCTAAGAGTATTCAATAGTTTAATCACCTGAAATTCTTTGGTTTTGTCTTGTTTTACAGGGCACAGCTCTGACGGGGAAAAAGTGGTGCATTTCTGGACATTCTGAGGATTCACAAGGAAACTAGCCATGTCCTTGGATGACATTAAAATGAAATCTAGTGACTTTTTGGAGAAGGAGCATTTGGACAGTGGGGGCTTCGGAAAGGTGTCTTTGTGTTTACACAGATCCCATGGACTTGTAATACTGAAAAAGGTGTACACAGGGCCCAAGCGCACCGAGTGAGTTGGGAGCAGAGGTGGGTGGGCCGAATTATGGGCTGGCCATGGGAAGAATTACTGTGGAGGGCCAGGGCAGGGCAGTGGATAAGGATGGCCTAGGTATTAGGAGACAGACTGCGGGGTGTCAGTGGGCACACTTGCTGTCCCATAACCCTTTGAGCTGGTTATTATTATCCCTGTACTGCTGGTTAGCAAAAAGCTCACAGCTAATAGACAATGGAAGAGAAGCGAAGGGAAGGAATTAGAGAAAGGGAAGGAGATGAAGAGTGATGGGGGAGGCAATGAGAAGCCATGGGAGGGGTCAGTGAGATACACTTGCCTACTTGCTGCATGGTTTTGGTGGGGACCAGCTGGGTGGCTCAGTTGGTTAAGTGACTGCCTTCGGCTCAGGTCATGGTCCTGGAGTCCCGGGATCGAGTCCTGCATCGGGTTCCCTGCTTGGCGGGGAGTCTGCTTCTCCCTCTGACCCTCCCCTCTCTCATGTGCTGTCTCTCTCTCTCTCATTCTCTCTCTCAAATAAATAAAATCTTTAAAAAAGAAAAACAAAAGGTAGGCCATTAATTAGAGGTTCCAGAAGCCCTCTCTTTAAAGCAGTTGGTGGACTTGTTTTACGTCCCTCTCTTCTTGCCAGAGTGGTTACCAAGAGAGGCTGAATTTTCTGTTATGCCATCTAACACAGCCCTTTGTCCGGCTGCCTCTCCTTGCGGCTCTTCACGTACTTTGCATTCATTCGTTCGTCGCTCTGAGGTTTCTTGAGCGCTCGCTGCCCATCACTGGGAAGGAACGAGAAAGTCCTCTGCCTGCGGACGCCCGTTGTCTGGGCCTGGAGGAGATCAGTACATGCACAAGCTCCAACACCAGCATGTGATGCGTGGGAGGCGCGTACTGCGTTTCTTGGGGGCACAAGGGACAAGGGCGCAAACTCCGCCCATGTTAACAGCATCTTTCTGTCCCGCAGGTACAATGAGTCCCTCCTTGAGGAGGGCAAGATGATGCACAGGCTGAGACATAATCGGGTGGTGAAGCTCCTGGGCGTCATCATGGAAGAAGGGAGCTACTCCCTGGTGATGGAGTACATGGAAAAGGGCAATCTGATGCACGTTCTGAAGGCGGAGGTAAAGAGGGCTTCGCTGTGCGCTGGGCCCGCGCATCCGTGATGGTGCTTGCCATGGTGTTTGTTCTTTTGTAGCTTGTTGGGGTCAAATAACCCCCTTGTGAGTTGCTACATAGTGTGGATTTTCTGAAGTCAGTCCCTGGTGAGAACGTCCTGAACTTCGCCTGCCCAGAACGTGGTCTTGCCTTCCTATCAGTCCTTGTAGACAGCTGTCTGAAACCCTCACCCGGGGAGGTCCCCCCTCTGTCTTGGTGTTGTAGCTGGCTCTGGTCAGCCACCCCAGCATCCACAGTTCAGGGATAGGCACTGTCTTCCTGAAGGCCGCCGCCTGACATGAGGCACATGCCTCCTGGGTGTGAGCTGACTGACTGACTGAAGGATGTACACTAGACATGACTGTAAGTGGAAATGGAATATTAATGATTGTTCTTTGATACCACTTGAGAAAACTTAGAGGCTGAATAGAGAGCATTAGAGGCAACAACAGTGGATAAGACTTAAAATAAGAAAAGCGTTTATGAAAACCACATCACTGTAATAAAGCATTTTTTAGAGTTTATCTACCTGTTAAGAGCAAGGCCTCATGCTAGTTGCTCAGGAGGCAATAGCAAATAGGACACAGACACGTACCACGGATAGATCGGGAGGGAACGGTATGGCCTAACGGTGTTTCAGTAGACCTCTCCCAGCGGGCTGTGGGGACACAGGGGAGAGGCCCTCACTTCAGTGTGGGAGGGATGAGAAGGGATTCCAGAACGGGGATGCTTGAGCCAAAGCCTGAAGGACAAGCAGAGAATTAGGGGATATGTGTTCCGGGCGAGAGAATAGCAAAGGAAAGAGGATATGCCAAAGTGGGGACACTGCAAATAACTGGATTTGGCCAAAGCATAGATTGCATCTGGGAGTGGTGGGATGTGACAGTCTGTAGGGCAAATATCCCCCCTTTTCCCATCTTCTCCCTTGCCCTACAACTGCCTGAGGTTATGTCCATTCTTCAGTTCTTCTAAGCCCCAGACATCTCTCGCAGACACATGTGGGAAGGGTAAGGGATGTTCACTTATACACGTTGTGTTATAATTGAATGAGACTGCTCTTCTCGCCAAAACTAGGTTAGACCAGCTGCTGCGTGAAGTAAGTAGGCATTTTGATTGGGAAATAAATCCTGTGCAACAAGAGGCGTTCTTCTGGATCAGGCGAGGATAAGGTGGACTAGTCTGGGCTCCAGAGGAATTCAGGAGGATGTGAGGGAGAAAAGCAGAAAGGGGAATGAGAAGGGGATTTCCTTGGCTTGCTCAGAATTTTTTTCTACGTCCGAGGTATACCAAGGAAGAACGGAAAATCTCTAGCTCTTTTTTGGATGGTGGTGATCAGACTACCAATTCAGCTACGTTATGGGTTTTAAATATGGTTTGGGGGGGTTGACTTGGGATTCTAACTTCCATCATTTAAATTTTTGTCCTGTTTATCAACAACCAACATATACATAAATTTTTAGGAAGCAGCCTGTTTGTAAACTAGAGACTGCACACACACACACACACACAATCTGCATTTTTCAGTGTTAAGCAAAACTAATGTTTTGGAATTCTCTATGTTAATGTTGATATTTATGTAACTAGAATACAATTGTTAAGTAAGAATGACTTGTGAATTTACAAAAACCTGCTGAAGTATCTGATACCAAATTACCAAATAGCTATTAAATTCACTTCCACATTGTTTTAACATCATGATATCTCATAGGTTAATCTTTACATGTTTGCAATCAGTGTGAGCACACTGAGAATCTCTTGTATTCTTTTTTCTCAGTATTATTTCATATACACACTTCTGTGACATTGTTCACCTATTTAGTATATAGTAGCATATATTAATGCACTGTAGAAAATGCCTGTTTTTTGTTTATTTATCCCTTCATTCAACAGCAATTCTAGGCACTGTGCTAGGTAGTAAGGATGCATGTTATAATCATCATCATCATCATGTTCTGCTTTTAAGGGGCTTAATTTTATAGCATTTTAATATATTACCATATTGGCATGAATGTTTTATTTTTACATGACAGAATACAACATTAATACCATTAGCATGTGGGATGAAATCTTTCTTTAAAAGGGGGCTTCTTTTAAAACGATGGCAGTGCTGCAGAGCATGATAGAAGGAATCCTGGTAACTACAGATGGTCCCCAGCTTATGGTTCCACTTACGATTTTTTCACTTTATGATGGTCAGAAGCAATGGGCATTCAGTGGAAACCGTATTTTGAATTTTGAATTTGGATCTCTTCCTGGGCTAGCAGCATGCATTATGATCCTCTCTCAGGATGCTGGGCAGTGGCTGTGAGCCACGTGATCAGACGGTAGACAACCGATATACTTACAACCATTCTGTTACTCACACAGCCATTCTGTTTCTCACTTACTGTTTAGTATCAGTCAATTACATGAGATAGTCACCATTTTATTACACAGTAGGCCCTGTGTTAGATGATTTTGCCCAACTAAGGCTAATGTAAGTGTTCTAAGCAGATTTAAGATAGGCTAGGCTAAGCTATGATGTCCAGTAGGTTAGATATCTTAAACATTTTTGAATTATGATATTTTGAACTTATGATGTGTTTATTAGGACATAACTCCATTGTATGTCGAGGAAGATCTGTATATCCTCAGGTTCAGACCCCACTACTCTTGAATAAAACAGTTGCTTTGGCCTATTTGACTTACCTTTCCATTTCATAGACTTAATGTCACTTGTTTTAGGTCAGTATCCCCCTTTCTGTAAAAGGAAGGATAATTATGGAGACCATTGAAGGGATGTGCTACTTACATGGACAAGGCGTAATACACAAGGACCTAAAGCCTGAAAATATCCTCGTTGATGATGACTTTCACATTAAGGTAAGTCATGATCTGAAGGTTTCTAGAAGATTAGGGTGATTTTAGTTTTAATTCTCCACTATAAATCCATTTTGTACATAGTAGACCCCTAAGGGAAGATCTCACTGAGCTTAGAACTGAAGACAGTGGTGCTGGAAGGTTCTGCCAAGGATTGACAAGAAAGATGCAGACTTGATGGAATTCATATTATTTACTTATTTATTTATTCTCACCTACATTTTTTATCATTTTTTTTTAAGTGTAACATACTCCAATGTAGTAAAGGCAACAAGGGGAAGAGATTTTCCTTTTGTTCACTCAAGAGCAGATTTAACGAGGTGGAACCTCACATCTAATTGGTTTTGGCAACAGGAATCCAAGCATGAGAATCCGAAAGGGGAAGCAGCATTTGGGGGAGAACTCAGGAACTGCTTACGCAGGCATCCTTTTACTACAAGATTCTGCTTCTAACACTTCCTTCTAGTCTTGGACAGATTTTTATTCCTACGACTTTGAAAGAAGGTTCCTTCTTTACATTAATAACATTTCTTATGTATCTCTTATGTTAAAATCTGGGGATTTTGGATGATCACATGCCAAAACCCATACCCATATGCTTGGATTCCTAGAGGCAAAAGTGAAACTGTCATCTTTGATTTCTTCTTAACTGTATTGTTCTATTGTTCTGTACTTTTGTCCTTGCCACCTCTCCCTGTTCTGTGTTTGACCTTTGTATTTTTCTTTTTGCTTTCTTCTCTGTTTTCCTCCTCCTTCCTATCCCATCTTCTCTTAGGTTCAGGCTACCAACTCAAAACAACTAGCATTGCAGTCCTTAACTTCAGGACTTTGGAGTCCTTAGAATCTTGCGTCCATGGGCTTCAGGACACCATTTGGGAAAATTGAAGGTGCAGTATCTCGTCACCATCGGCTATACAAATCTGCTGAGAAGAAAATATCTTTTCTTCCTAGCCCCAGAAATAGTTGAAAAAATATGTAGAGTAAATGAGGAATTAGAATAAACATGTTTTGCTGTAGTTCATGTGAGAAATGACTTCTGCTTTTTCTGTTCCCTTCCCCTCCCCTAAACCCACTAGCAAATTCCATGGTTTCATTGCATAAGAATTTGAGATACCAGAATTTCACATGGACATTTCTTAGAGGACATTTTCCAGCTAGCTGAGGAAACACAACGTTTCTATGAATTTGTTCAGAAGTAGCTGTTTTAAATCTATCTAGTGGAAATTTCTGGAAATCCACTATACCTCCCATCTACTAGTTAAGCCCCAAATTTAAAGACAAGTCTGATTTACCTGTGGCTCTCACAGAACAATCCTATTGGTTTTGATCTCTTGCAGATAGCTGATCTTGGCGTTGCTTCCTTTAAGATGTGGAGTAAACTGACTAAAGAGGAACATAATGAGCAGAGGAAATTGAATAGTGTCTCTAAGAAAAATGGTGGAACCCTTTGCTACATGGCCCCTGAGCATCTGAATGACATCAACGCAAAGCCCTCAGAGAAGTCAGATGTGTACAGCTTTGGCATAGTACTTTGGGCAATATTTGCTAATAAGGAGCCCTATGAAAGTAAGACATTTGTAGAGGAATGGGATCTGGGTATTCATCAAAACTGCTGAGTAAAATAGTGACCTTCAGTGAAGTTAGTTAAGACTTATGACTGTCTGTTCATTTAATGTCTTTTTTACCCACTAGACCATAAGTTACACAGGGGCTGGGACCATATCTGATTTATTCAGTGCTATTTCCCCAGTATCTACACACACAGTGCCTGGAACACAGTAGGTGCTCAATGCCCTTATGTCGAATGAATGAGTAATCTGTTTAGGAATCAGGGATCACAGGACAAATAGGAGCCTTGATGATATATCTGAGTTTGGGAAGTGACATAAAATTCCAGGATTCTTCCTGGACAGGAAAACTTGCTTGCTTCTGCTTATGAGACATATTACTTCATACTTTCATTCATTCACTTGCTCCCTTACTCGAAAATTATTTATTTTCAGTACTTACTATGGGCACTTTAATTGGAATTAAGAATAAAGAGATGAGAAAAGACATTGTTCATGAAGGAGAACCCATACAGAAGTAGTCATTCTTCAGATTAATGGACATTTTCTGGTCCCATTTTCTTGGGTGATTATCAGCTCCCTGGTTTAATGATCACCCATTGCCAAGGCCTCTAAAATCTCTTATCTCTAGCCCTGGCCTGGGATATCCCCTTATCTGTTAGATCCATTACACATACCAGAGGAACCCAAAGCAACATCCCCCCAAACACATTCATCTTCTGCATGCTCTCCTTGTAGTCCACTCAGCTTTGCTCTTCTCATGTTCAGAAAATGGCATCACCATCCACCTACTGAGTCGCTGGACCAGAACCCTTATGCATCCCATTCTCAGCTTTGCCCCTTGTCTCCTACATCCAATCAGACATCAAAACCTATGAATTGAAGGTATACATATGATTCAAGATACATCTTGAATCCATCCACTTCTATCCCCACCAGACTCTCTTTAGTTCACACCCTCCATATTTCTGCTGAAGCCTGCTCATGCCATTCTCCATTCACACTGTAGCCAAGCTGGTCATGCTAAAAGGCAAGTATGACCATCTCACTCATCTATTTAAAATCTTTCCAAGGCTCCCTGGGCCTTCAGGATAAAGTTCAAATTCTTCAGCATGGAATACAAACCCCTCTCTGATTTGGCTTTTCCGTCTTTCTCTAGCCTTATTCCTTACCTCTCTTTCTTTAGTCAATATGCCCAGTTATAATGAACTATTCATAATTCCTGGGACACATCATGATTTCGGGGACTTCCAGTCTATTCATATCCTGCTTCCCCTAGCCTGGAATCCTCCTCTCGGAGTCCTCCTTCCTGATTCTTTACATGGATAAATCCTGCTTATTTTTCTTGACTCAGCAAAGCCTTCTCTGACCTTCTAGTCACGGTTGTTAGCAGAACCCTTTGTACTTACTCCTTGAATAAGTTACCACTCAGTGTTTTCAGTCACTCTCGATAGACTGAGCTCCTTACAGGTAAGAGCTGTGCCATATTTGTCTTTGTATTAAAATCTGGAGTATGCCATTGGTTTTATTTATATATTCTATTTGTTCTACCAGGAGGCCACTTTGTTGTGAATTCTGTCTCATCGGCAGAGGTTAAAATGTCATTTGATCATCTGGGCAGTAGAAGATGTCAGCGCCTTGTCAGAGGGTCATTCTGCCCCTATCAGATGAGGCACCTGTATTAAAAGCACACCCTCTGTAGAGAGAGATGAGCAGCATTGTCCAAGTTCTGCCACCTCCCTGCCTGAGATATGCAGGACCTAAGAGAAAGTCAACTTAAATTCTTCTTTGCTTTATAGATGCTATCTGTGAACAGCAGTTGATAATGTGCATTAAATCTGGGAACAGGCCAAATGTGGATGACATCCTTGAGTACTGCCCCGTGGAGATTATCAGCATCATGAAGCAATGCTGGGACATGAAACCAGAAGTTCGGCCAACATTTACTGGTAAGAGCATCTTTTATGACTGTGTACATTGCCAATGAGGTGAATTTTCCTAGTAAGATGTTGTCAAGAAGTTGCTTTAAGTTTTCAAAAAACTCAGTTCCACTTGTGATTTCAAACATATTGTTCAATGAAAAGATACCATCCCTCTCAAAAGCATGAAGGCATGTAAGGCCCTCTTATTTCTTTTTTTTTTCACAAGTAACTTTTTAAAAATTGTGTTAAAATATACATAACACATCATTTACCATGTTAACCTTCTTTAAGTGTACGGGGCAATGGCGTTAAGTACATTCACCATCGCCACCACCCATCTCCAAAACTTCTTCATCTTCCAAACTGAAACTTTGTTTCAGTTAAATACCAGCTCCCCATTCCTCTTCCCCCAGCCCTTGGCAACCACCATTCTAACTTTTCATCTCTCTGAATTTATTCTATTATGTTTATTATTACATAAATAGAAAGGTACTACTCAGGGTACCTCATGTAAGTGGAATCATACAGGTTTTGTCTTTTTGTGCCTGGCTTAGTTCGGTCGGCATAATGTCTGAGGTTCCTTCATGTTGTAGCATGTTTCAGAAGTTCCTTCCTTTTTATTGCTGAATGGTATGTATTCTGTGGTGTTTATAGACCACATTTTCTTTATTCATTCATCTGTCGATGGATACTTGGGTTGCTTCCACTGGCCTCTTTATTTCTTAGCTTCTCTTATTTCTTTTCTCTCCCCTTGTGTAGCTGACATCTTTGGAAATGTATGTTGTCATTTAGATTGGGCCTGTAGGAGAGGGAGAGGGAAAGGGACATGGATGTTTGTCACATCCTTGCACCTCTTTCCATTCCTCTAGGTTACCTAGGATCTTGCTAAGATCCTAGAGGCAGAGGAAAAATGGAAATCAGAGGAAAGAAAATCAGGTGAGCAAAAAATAAACAGTAGGAAGTCACTTAGGAGCCTATTTCTGCTATGAGAAAACAGAATTAAAGCCCCACCTACCACTACTACCAAGGATTAGAGGGTTACTTTGGTTTATTTGCTTGTTTTCTTATTCTGTTAGTCAGCCGATCTTCTCCTGACTTGGTCTCTTCTCTTCTTTCATGCCTTTTACACCTTTTCAAAATTAAAGTTCTTATTTTGAGATAATTGTAGATTTACATGTGGTTGTAAGAAAAACACAGAGGGGTACCTGGATGGCTCAGTAGGTAGAACATGGGACTCTTGATCTGGGGGGTTGTAAGTTTGAGCCCCAGGTTGGGTGTAGATATTACTTAAAAACCTTTAAAAAAAAAAATTCTCCTTTTTGATGGGATCTTTGCTTGGTTTGGGGATTAAGGTAATGCTGGCCTCATAGAATGAGTCTGGAAGCTTTCTTCTGTTTCCGTTTTTTGAAACAGCTTCAGGAGAATAGGTATTATTTGTTCTTTGAATGTTTGGTAGAATTCCCCAGGGAATCCATCAGGCCCTGGACTCTTTGTTTTTTGGGAGGTTTTTGATCACTGCTTCAATCTTGTTACTCGTTGTTGGCCTATTCAGGTTGTCAGTTTCTTCCTGTTTCAGTCTTGGCAATTTATGGGTTTCCAGGAAGGCATCCATTTCTTCCAGGTTGCTCGATTTATTGGCGTATAGTTGTTGATAATAATTTCTAATAATTGTTTCTATTTCCTTGGTGTTAGTCGTGATCTCTCCCCTTTCATTCATAATTTTATTAATTTGGGTCCTTTCTCTTTTCTTTTGGATAAGTCTGGCCAATGGTTTATTGATCTTATTAATTCTTTCAAAGAACCAGCTTCTAGTTTCATTGATCTGATCTACTGTGTTTCTTGTCTCTAATCCGTTGATCTCTATTCTAATCTTAACTATTTCTCTTCTAATGCGTGGCTTAAACATTGTTAAAATGTCCGTGCTACCCAGAGCAATCTATACCTTCAGTGCTATCCCAATCAAAATTCCAGTGACATTTTTCAAAGTGCTGGAACAAACAATCCTAAAATTTGTATGGAATCAGAAAAGACCCCGAATCACCAAGGAAATGTTGAAAAAGAAAAACAAAGCTGGGAGCATCATGTTGCCTGATTTCAAGCAATATTACAAAGCAGTGATCACCAAGACAGCATGGTACTGGCACAAAAACAGACATATAGACCAATGGAACAGAATAGAGAGCCCAGATATGGACCCTCAACTCTATGGTCAAATAATCTTCCACAAAGCAGGAAAAAATATGCAATGGAAAAAAGACAGTCTCTTCAATAAATGGTGCTGGGAAAATTGGACAGCCACATGCAGAAGAATGAAACTCGACCATTCTCTAACACCATACACAAAGATAAACTCAAACT